TCCCTGGATCATTTGCCCCCTGATTGCTCCTGATCAGTCCCCCAACCCCTACCCTACCTACCCCCCGCTACATACCGACCCTGGGCCACATTGCAGCTGAAACAAGCCGCCATCCGCTCTGGTGTTGAATATATGTGCACTTGAGGCCTGTACATCAGAGCAAGAGACTGCACATCTTGCCTGCCTGTAACAGCACAAGTCTGCTTGACCGGAGGCAAGCTGCCAAGCTGCCCCAACCAGGCTTCGGTCACCGCTTCAGCCGCCCCGTCCACTGCTGCTGCCAGCACCGCCGCCACTGCTGCTGCTGCCGCCGCTGCTGGCCCCTGCCTGCTGCGCCCCTGCCCTGCTGGGCTCCGTTCTCGACTTGCACGCGGCGGTTGCTGTGCGGCGGCGTGGCGGGTCTCGGCTGAGCCCTCGCTCCCGCAGCATTCGGATGTACCTGCGCAGCGCAGGCGGGCAAGGGACCAGGGTGAGGCCGCGGTGCCAGCCAGACAGGTGTGCTGGCGCACAGGCACGGGAGGGAGGGCCGGGCAGCCGGCAGGATCGTACCGCCGCATTCTGCTCAGCTTCTGGGTGCCCAGGTCGTGCAGGTACTGCCAGCTATAAATGCCGCTGCTGTGCAGGTCGTCAAACGACAGCCTGCGCACCGAGGTGACAGGCAGTAAAAAAACAGTGGGGGCGGCAGCGGCGGCAGGCTCCGCAATGGATCGCTGGTTGCTCGCCCAGGCGCACCTGACTGCATAACTGCCTATCCGGTCAATAGCCATGATCCCCACCTGGCGCCGCCCATGCACCACCTGCACCGCAGCTGGGGCATGCACAAGCCATCACTGCACAATTAAAACCAGCTTGACAGCAGAGTAACACCCGCAGCACCCTGCCAGAGCCACACCTTGAGCTGGCCCCGTGCATCTTTGCTGTCTTGGTTGCCGGCCGCGGGGCTCTCCACCCGGAGGTACTCGGCAGGGTAAGTGAAGCGCTGTCCTGTGTTGAATTCTACCTCCAGCACCTGCGCAGGCAGTGCGTGGTGGGGGCGGTGAAATGGTGGGGCACTGGCGGCAGGTGGCGGCCGCGGCGGCATTGCTACGGCACCCTGCCGATCGCACAGGCGTGCCTGGTCTCTTCTCAATTTGATTTGTGTGGCGTAGAGCTCAGCCGGCCAGGCAACAGCGCACAGGGCCCGGAACTGCAGGCCCACTGCCAGCAGCCGTTGTCGCAGGCTGCCTACACACGCGGATGACATTGTGAAATGGATCGGAAATGGCCAGGCGCCTCCAATTTTTGCCCAGGCTGCCACGTCAGCCCAGCCGGCCAGAAACTAGCGCGTGCAGCTAGCTCGTTTGTGATCATCGTCCACTTGCTGCTGGACCGTTACAGCTGCGAAGCGGTGCTTCTGCACAGCTCAAACCCTGCTAGGCCATCAGCAGCCTCGATCACGCACACAGGCATATCTAAATACATCGCCAAGCACCAGCAGCGATCAGCATGCAGGCCGCACAGGCCGCCCGGGGCCGCCTGGCGCTTCCCCTGGCTGGCAGGACACGCACGACCGCTTCAGGTGACTGCTAGGGCCCGCACAAAACACCCAGGCGCATGCCAGCTGCGAGGAGCGCCGCCCCGCTGCCCCTGGCTGCCAGCCCGCCCCGCCCGCCCGCGGCCGTTTGACCTGCGCCGCCACCTTGCCGCCACCTTGCCCTGCAGGCCTCCGCGGCTGCCTGCCACGCCGGCTGGCTGCCGGCACACCCATGCCGCGGCAGCAGCGGGGCCGTAGGCAGCAGCCGGCACGCCCCGCGCGCGGGCTGGCGGCGCCTGTGTGCGCCCAGGGCGGCGGCGACGACGTGCTTGTGCGCTTCTCTGTGCAGCGGGAGGTCAAGTTTGGGGAGGCGGTGCGCCTGGTGGGCAGCCACCCCTCGCTGGGGAACTGGAAGGTGGGTGGCCGTGCTGGCGGCAGCACCCGCCCTGCTGCCGTGCTGCTGCTGCTGCTGCTGCGCCCAAGAGGACGCAACGCCCTCTTGGCGATGCCACCCCTTTTTCTGCGCGTGCCTCCCATGCACGGACTCGTGCCGAATCCTATTGCGCCGCAGGTGCGCAAGGCGCCGAGCATGGGGTGGCGGGAGGGGCACATCTGGGTGGCCGAGGTGGCGCTGCCGCCGGGCACCGCCCTCGAGTTCAAGGTGCGCCCTGGCCCGCCGCCTGCTGCTCCCTTGTGCAGGGGCCATACCTGCCACCTGCCTCCTGCCTCCCCTCTGCTGAGCCATGCCTCTCGCTGCTGCCGCCCGCCTTGCTCTGCCCCCCCTGCTGCGTTGTCGCCTCGCTGGCGCCTTGCCCCCTGGCGTGCCAGGCTCCACCCTGCTCCTGCTTGCCTGCCTGCCGCCCTCTCCCACCCCTGGCGCAGTGCGTGCGCGTGAAGGGCGAGGACGGCGGCGACGGCAGGTGGGAGGACGGCGACAACCGCTCCCTGGTGGTGCCCGCCGGCGGCGCCTCCTCGCTGTCTGTGCTGCTGGAGTGGGGCGGCGAGATGCACGTGCAGGCGGCCGGCGCCGGCGAGGAGCTGCCCGGCCTGGAGGGCGCCCACCAGCAGCAGCGCGAGCGCGAGTGGGAGCGCAGCCGCAGCGGCAGCGGCAGCGACAGCGACGACTCCTGGGCGCCGCCCTCCTCGGGCGGCAGCGGCTCCAGCTTCGACGACTCCATGGCCCTGCTGCCGCAGTGGCAGGGCAAGGAGCTGCGCTTCATGCAGTCAAACGAGCACAGCAGGTGGGGCCGGGGGCAGGGCGGTGGCTGGGACGTGTGGGTGGGTTGGACGTGAGGGTGTTGTAGCCAGCAGCATGCCGTGTGGCTGGCATGCATGGGCCGCCCCGCCCGGTGTGCACACACATAGCCAGACGCCGCCGGCTGCGCCCACCCGGCCTCCCGCAGGGACCGGCGGGGCGTGTGGGATACCGCGGGGCTGGAGGGCCCCGCGCTGCACCTGGTTGCGGGCGACCGCGATGCCGCCAACTGGCTGGGCAAGCTGGAAGTCGTGAAGAAGCTGCTGGTGGACAACGGTGGGCGCGGCTGCCCCTGCCGCCTGTGGCACTGCAGCTGCACCGCCGGTGCATCAGCTTTTGGCCGCAGCCTGGGGAGCAGAGCGTGCGCAGGGGGACCCTCCCTCTCCTCCGTGCCGGGCACCCAGACATCGGGCGCGCCTCGGCGCCTCCCCCTGCCTGCCTGCCGCAGCCCCCGAGCTGCGCCCCAGCCTGGACGCCCTGGCCCACGCCTACATCTACATGCAGTGGCTGGCCACGGGGGCGGTGGAGTGTGTGGAGGGGGGCGGACACCACCGGCCCAACCGCCACGCCGAGCTGGCGCGCTCCATGTTCAGGTGTGTGGGACGCGGGGTGGGTGGGGGTTGGAGGGCGGCATGCAGAGATGTGGCTGGGCGTGTGGTCGGGGTGCTGGGGCTGGGGCTGCGCTGAGGGGGATCTGGTGGTGTTCAGAACGGCCTGGGGCGCAGTGCCGCCTCGCTCCTCGCCGCCCCCCGCCCTGCTCTGGTCGCTAACGGTCGCCTGCCCCCACCCACCCGCCCACCCACTCACCCGCAGGTCTCTGGAGTGGGTGATTGGCGAGCAGGGCCACGTGTCGCCCGCGGTGGCGCTGGCCGGGCGGCGCCTGCAGAGCCGCCTGCCCTCCTTCACCGAGCAGTTCACGCAGAGCGTGCCGCTGACGCGCATCCGCGACATTGCGCACAGGTGTGTGTGTGGGGGGGGGAGCTGGGCTGGGTGGGGTGGAGGTGGGGTGGCGTCTGCGTCTTCCGTGGCATCGGCGGTACAGGCGAGGCGAGTGGGCGCCATCCCCCCTTCCGCTACCCCCCCACACGCACATGGTGTGTGTGTGTGTGGTACTACGCGAGCCGCCGCCAAACGCCTGTGCGCCCGCGCTGCCGCCTCCCTGCCCGCCTGGCCCGCCTGCAGGAACGACATCCCGCGGGACCTCAAGGCCGAGATCAAGCACACGCTGCAGAACAAGCTGCACCGCAACGCGGGTCCCGAGGACCTGCACACCACTGAGGCCATGCTGGCGCGGGTGACGGCCAACCCCGGTGGGCGGAGGGGCTGGCGGGGTGGTGGGCGCCTGCCGGGCTGGGCCTCCATGCCACCACGCCAGCCTCCGCGTCGAGCTGCAGCGTCCCAAACCACACACCACGACACGCACGCGCGCGCACGCACGCGCGCACGCACACAGCACAGGACGACGTCGATCATCGCCGCGCCCCTGGCCCCCTTCCTCACCCTCCTGTCCTCCCCCCCCCCACCCCCTGGGCAGGCGAGTTCTCCGAGTCCTTTGTGCACGAGTTCCGCGTGTTCACCGCGGAGCTGCGGGACTTCTTCAACGCGGGTAGCCTCACGGGTGGGTGGTGGGTGGGTGGGTGGGGGCAGGGAGGGCGCGGGCAGGGAGTCTGCGCAGCTGGTTTGTGTGGATAGGTGGTGGTGGGTGGTGGGGTGTGGTGGGATGGAAGAAGCGGGATGGGATGGCACGTGCTTCACATATTTCGGCATCCGGGGCGACTTGGGCACCCGGATGCTGCGCTGTTGGCAGCCACCCCCTCCGTCACCTTACCCCTCCTCTGCCCCGCCTGCCCCGCCCTCTTGCTGCAGACATGCTGAACGACGTGCGCCCGGGGCTGGACGAGGCCTCTGCCAAGCTGCTGGACCACTTTGGCTGGGTGAAGGGGGAGCTGGATGCGGCGGGGGAGGGGGCGGACCAGGTGGGCGGGCGGGGAGTGGGTGTGGGGTGGGTGGGATGGTGGGAGGGAGGCGCATACATGGGACTGTTGGCAGGGTGGCTGCCGCTTCTGCGCTGCCTACTGCTACTCCCACCGCTGGTATGCACAGGCCTGGCGCCTCTGCTTCCTCCCTGCCCTGCTTCCCACTACGACTTCAACCACCGCGCCACAACCCCTCCCTGCCCTCCCCTCCCCTCCACCCACCCACCCCGCCCAAGCAGAACAAGCTGATCGACGTGCTGCACGCCGCCACCTCTGTGCGCGCCCTGCTCATGTCGGGGCTGTCCAGCGGCCTGCGCAACGACGCGCCCGACCGCGCCATGGCCATGCGCCAAAAGTGGGTGGCCGGTGTGGGTGGTGATGGCGTTTGTGTGTGTGTTTCCATGGCTGCGTGGATGCACGTGTGTGGAGCGGGCTGCGTGCTTTGGTCGGCAGCTGCGCCGGTGCTGTGGACAAGAAGGCCCAGCCCCACCGGGCGGCTGCCGCTTCCGCTTGCGTCACAGCACACAGAATGCAGCACCAGCCCTGGTTTGCTGGCACCGAGCACCGCTCGCCTCGCTCGCCGCGGCGCTGCAGGTGGCGGCAGTGCGAGGTGCGCGCTGAGGACTACGCATTTGTGCTGCTGTCCCGCTTCATCAACAGCCTAGAGTACCAGGTGGGTGTGTGCTGTACTGGTGTGTCATGTCAACATGTGTGTGGGTGGGATGGGTGGGTGGGTGGGCGACACGCAACCGGCAAGGCCACGCCTGGTCGCCTGCGTGCTGCCATTGGCCCCTGACCGTTACCCCCTCCCCAGCTCACCCCCTTGCCTGCTTCCCTGCCCGCCCGGCCCGCGTCCCCACAGGGTGGCGCGGCCCACGATCGCGCACGGCAGCGACGGCAGCTGGGCGCTGCTCATCGGCGC